CAGCAGGTTGAATTAATTAGTGTTGTCCTAGATGTTGTACAAAAACAAATATTAAGCCAGTCCCTGCTCTAGAAAGTTATAAGCAGGAGAATGGATGGGGAGAGAGATGTTTAGAGACTCAGGGGAAAGCAGCATGTGAATTAACTTTAAAAAATTTAAGCTAATAATTTTTGTCCTACAAAAGACTCCCGTTAGAAATGTCAAGTGTACATCACTGAAACCTGGCAAGTTCAGCAACAACATTTTCTTGTTCATATCAACATAGGAGAGGACTATTCCTTGTCCATCCCGGGGTGGGGGGTATGTACAGGCCCCGCCGGGTGCTGCCAGCTATGCACTTCAGCATCTCGCCACCCCCGCATAGGCTGATATGGCTTAAGGGAGCCTACCCCTACCCTAGCCCTGGAGCAAGATGAGGGCAAGGCAAGGCCCCCCAAAGGGACACTTGCCTGCCTGTACACAAATGTCAGGAACTTGGGGAATAAACAGAAGGAACTTGTCCTCCTGCTTAACACAAATAACTATGATGTCATAGTTATAACGGAGACCTGGTGGGACTCCACCCATGGCTGGGCCACAGGTATGGACAGCTATACCCTGTACAGGAGGGATTGAGTGGACAAAAGGGGCGGAGGTGTAGCTATCTATGTCAAGGAAAGCTACGTGTCCCTGCAATCTGACGTTGGCGCCCACGGTGGATGACTGGAGACCCTCTGGGTTAAAATCATGGGGAACACGGCACAGGGGGCACAATGGTGGGAGTCTACTACAGATCTCCTGCCCAGGATCAAGACCTTGACCAGGAGTTCGCCAGGGAATTGGTGAGGCCGCACAGTCCTGGTGCATGGTTGTCATGGGAGACTTCAACTACCCAGACATCTTGTGGCAAGAGTGCTCAGCTAAATCCGAGAGGTCGCAAAGCTTTCTCTCGTGCGTGGATGAGCTCTGACGCAAGAAGTTGACGGGCTGACGAGAGGCAAAGCACTGCTCGACCTGGTTCTGGCAATGGGAGACGACCTAATCAGTGACCTAATGATCGAAGGGAAGCTGGGTGACTGATCATGAGCTGATCACCTTCACCATCTGCCGTAAAGCTGGCAAGTCAGTCAGCAATACAGAAGTCCTTGATGTCAGGAAAGCTGACTTTGACAAGCTCAGGAGGTTTGTTAAGGAGGCCCTAAAGGGCCACAACCCAAAGGGGAGGGGAGTTCAGGACGAGTGGTTGCTCCTCAAAGGAGCGATCCTGGATGCGCAAGCAAAGTCTAGCCCATCTCCGAGGAAATGCAGCAAAAGGGCACAGCAGCCTCCTTGTCTCTCCAGGGAACTAGCGGACCTCCTGCATCTAAAAAGAAAGACCTAAAAAGGATGGAGGATTGGATCCACTTCCAAGGAGGAATACTCTGCACTGGTCCGGACCTGCAGGGAGTGAACCAGGAAAGCCAAGGCTGCAATGGAACTCCAACTGGCTACAAGTATCATGGATAATAAAAAGTCCTTTTTTAGATATGTGGGGAGCCGGAGAAAAAGCAAGGGCAACATTGGACCCCTCTTAAACCAGATGGGACAACTGACACCCAGGAAAAAGCCAACTTGCTAAATGGGTACTTTGCATCGGTCTTTCACCAGTCCCATGGGACACCCCTGCCCATTACGGGACAGGAAGGCCCGGGTGAGGGAGATTCCTTACCCCCCATCAATGCTGACCTCGTGAAGGAACACCTTGAGAGGCTGGACACCTTCAAGTCAGCCGGCACTGACAGTCTACACCCCAGGGTACTCAAGGAGCTGGCTAGCATCGTAGCTCAGCCCCTGGCATGGATCTTCGAGAACTCCTGGCGCTCTGGTGAAGTGCCCAAAGGTTGGAAGAAGGCCAATGTGGTGCCCATCTTCAAGAAAGGGAGGAAAGTGGATCTGGCAAACTACAGGCCCATCAGCCTGAGCTCTATCCTAGGGAAGGTCTTAGAAAAGATTATCAAAGAGGCCATTCTTAACAGACTGGCTGAAGGCAACATCCTGAGGGATAGCCAGCACGGGTGTGTTGTGGGTAGGTCTTGCTCAACCAATCTCATTTCCTTCTATGACCAGGTGACCTATCGCCTGGAAAAGGGAGAAGAGATTGATGTTGTATATCTTGACTTTAAAAAAAGCCTTTGATCTGTTATCCCATGATCGCCTCTTAGCAAAACTGGCTAACTGCAGTCTCAGCCTCACCACAATTCGCTGGCTGGGGAATTGACTCCGTGGTAGGACCCAGAGGGTGGTGGTGGACCGAAATCAATCATCGTGGTGCCCTGTGACCAGTGGGGTCCCCCAAGGCTCTGTCCTTGGGCCTATGCTATTTAACATCTTCATTAATGATGTGGACATTGGTATCAGAAGTGAACTGGCCAAGTTCGCCTATGACACCAAACTTTGGGGTAAAGCATCCACACCTGAGGACAGGAGGGCGATCCAGGCTGACCTTGACAGACTCAGGAAATGGGCGGATGAGAACCTGCTGGTGTTTAACACTGAAAAATGCAAGGTTCTCCACCTTGGGAAGAAAAACTTGCATCATCCTTATAGGCTCAGCAGTGCTATGCTGGCTAGCACTATGGATAAAAGGGACTTGGGGGTCATGATTGGCCACAAGATGAACATGAGCCTTCAATGTGATACTGCTGCTAGTAAAGCAAGCAAAAGAGTGGCTTGCATCTGCAGATGCTTCTCAAGCAAATCCCAGGAGGTTATTCTCCTGTTGTACTGGGCCTCGGTGAGGCCACAGCTGGAGTACTGTGTCCAGTTTTGGGCTCCACAACTCAAAAAGGATGTGGAGAAGCTTGAGAGGGTGGAGAGGAACGCCACGCGTATGATCAGAGGTCAGGAAAACAGACCTTATGAAGAGGGGCTGAGAGCCATGGGACTCTTCAGCATGGAAAAGCACAGGCTCAGAGGCGATCTGGTGGCCACCTATAAGTTTATCAGGGGTGCTTACCAGGATCTGGGGGAATGTCTGTTCACCAAAGCGGCCCAAAGGATGACAAGGTCGAAAGTTCACAAACTCCTCCGTGACCATTTCAGGCTGGACATAAGGAAGAACTTCTTTACCGTCTGAGCCTCCGAGGTTTGGAATAGATTTTCACCAGAGGTGGTTCAAGTACCTACTTTGAACGCCTTTAAGAGACATCTAGATGTTTATCTTGCTGGGATCCTATGATCCCTGCTGACTTCCTGCCCTGGGGCAGGGGGCTTGACTCGATGATCTTCTGAGGTCCCTTCCAGTCCTAATGGCTATGAAATCAATATGGCGCAGGCCCTGCACACACCTAGGGATGGCTCTGAATATAATGTTTAATGATTGTGGAACTAAACAATAACCTAGTGAATGGCAATCACCAATAACCACTAAAGACGTTTTCACACGTGCTTTGTGGGGTGGGGTAGAAGTGCTTTAATTAGAGCAGCTCCTGGAGCCGCACTCCAAAATGTTGGCAGGGGTGCTTTTATATAAAGCTTGTTCAATGAGCTTTAGTTTAAAGCAATCCGGGGACCATTTTGAAGTGCAGGAACTCTGATACATGAGATGCAGAGGCTGGCTGCAGCAGGATAGTTACTGCTCTCCAGCAGACTTGATTAATTGATCAATGGAGTCTGCTGCAGTACGCTATACAGGCTCGTATACAGGCACCCTAAAAGTTCATTGTCATAACCAGGGATCCAGGTTTTCTATTGGCTGTGGAAAACTGGGTTTTCCTCTTTAAAGGGGAAACTGTGGGTTTCCTCTTACAAGCTGGCAGCCTTCTAGCCTGCAAGGAGCTGTTTGGGGCTGGCAGAAACAGGAGGGCAATTGGAAGCAGTTGGTGCCACATGCACATATATGCACATGGCCAGCATATAGCCAGGCAGGGTGGTGGGAACAGCCCTGGCAACTGGATATAGCTAAGTCTAGGGGGCTGGAGTTGGAGGGCCAGGGCTTGGGGACTGCCCAGGGGGCTCTGAAGCAGGCATAGTGTGTGTATGTGGCAGGGGTGTGTAGAGGGGAGGGGGGGGAGGGTGGGTGCCTGCCAAACTGGAGGAAGGTGTCCAAGTGCCGGGGCTGTGCTCTGTGCTGCTGATGAGCCTGGTTCTGTGATGTTGCCAGTGGGGTATGCTCAGAGACACTTGCCTCTCCAGTGGGGGAAAGAGGCAGGTGCCATACTCTCAGGAGTTGGGCAGGGTGGCTGGGAGATGCTGCCCAGGGAGGGGGCCGGAGTGGCACAGCCCCCCCCGCAGACTTCTGTGTGCACAGTGGGGTGCGAGGCTGCAGCTGAGCTGGACCACCTCTGGGCAGGAACTGCCTCCATAGCCCAGCAGGCAGAACTTGTCATGGGAGGGAGTGCCACAGTGCTGTGGCTGCCAAGCTGAGGTGCCCCCTACCTACCCAACAGCAGTGGAGGGCACAACTCTGCACCACTGCTGCCATACCTCAGTTTGGCGGCCATGGCACTCCTTCCCATGCCAGGTCCTGCCCACTGGACTGCTGAAGCAGCTCCTGCTTGGAGCTGCCCTGGCTTGGCTGCAGGCAGCTCCAAGCAGCCCAGCCTCTGGCTTCTTTACTATTCATTCCATCTAGGAAGAGTACACACCATCTGCAGAGACTTCCTCAGCTTGGCGAAGGGTTTTTAAACCCGAAAGCTTGCTAAAAATTTTTTTCCAACTATTTAACGTGGTCTAATAAAAGATATCAGATTCACCCAAAGAACCTGATAAACATTGTCAAAATTCCCAGTGTCAAAAACTGGGATGAGAGCCTTTCATGCTGTAGCTCTGATAACAGGTAACCTTGCTGCAAGATCACCTTCTTGCCGATGCTGAGAGGGGGTTTGAATCTGTTAAGCTGTCTGACTTCTCAGCAGAGTGAAGTGACAAGTGCACCACAGGACAGATATTTGCTTCCAGTCCTCTTGAAGCTGAGCTGCCACTGCACCTTGCAGTTCCTGAATAAAATGAATGGGGAGCACAGGGAAATTTATACCCTTCTGGGAGCAAGGGACCAGGCTAGAACCCAGGACAAGTTCCTTTTCATAGTTGTATCCAGCTCACCGGGCCACACACCCATTAGTTCATTTACATCTTCCAGGTCCCGCATATCTCTCTCTAATGGCTTCCAGGGATCAGCTGTAAAAAGTAAAATACAATAAAAATAAAAGCTGGAGAAGGGGCTGGATAATACCTAACCTGTGATCTAGTAATTAGCAGACTCTGTTAGAAACCCAGAGGAACTTAAATCCCAACTCCCTTCTGGATGATCCCAAATCCCTTTTGGATGCTTATCTTGCTGAGGTGATCTGACACCAGTTGACTTCCTGGGGAGGAAGATTTCATAGACATTAGGGCCTTGTGAGATTATTGGGTCCAGCCCCCTGCCCAAAGGACACCTTGGGCTGGGGGCTGGACCCAATGATCTCACAAGGCCCTAATGTCTACGAAATCTATGATGGGGGTGGGGATCTAAAACCTGGGTCTTCCACTTCCTGTGCAAATACCCTAATCACTCGGCTATTGCAGCTAAAATATGGGATGTCTCTGTCTCTGTCTCTCTCTCTCTCTCTCTCTCTCTCTCTGCGATGTAACACCTGCTAATCCTGGGCTTTTGACCAATAGAATTTTGTGTCTTACACTTGCTCAGTGTACATGTGTACAGAACCACTGTGTAGGATTGAAAACTGTGTGTAAGTGCCACAATTGTCAATTATGTGCCTTGAAAACTGCTATTTAGGTGTGTAGAGTGAAATAGGATTCTGCCTATAGATGCCTAGTAGGTGGAATAAGACCTGCCCTTATGATACTTCTCCAGAATACCTTCAGGCCCCATCTCAGAATGAGTTCCAAACAGGGAGAGCTGTACCTGTACAGAGCCTATTTCAGGATTGAGATGTGTTTTGTGTTACTCAAGCACTTTTTTGTGGGGAAGTGTTACAACAACATTTTTTTTGAGAAATGGAAACATTTTCCACCCCACTGGAAAAATAGGTCTTGTTATGTAAACTTATTTAAGGCCTGGTCCAGTGCTCACTGTAGCAGATGGGAGTCCTGCCACTGACTTCACTGGGTAGCACCCTTCATGGTATACTTTGAATATTGAACAACTTGGTGTTCAGTCAGCGTACATTGATCTTAAGTACAAGCATTTACAGAAGTCAAAGGAGGAAGTATTGCTTATGTCTAACAATTATCAGTTGGTCTCTCTCTATTAAGTTAGTTCAGTAAAGTGAGAAAAGCTTAAAAATTAAGTAAAATGCGGGAGAAAACGCAAAATAGTTTAGAAATGGAAAAGACTCTGTTCTTGGTTTATCAAAGATTTATTTCTTTTCATGTGATAAACATCCTTGAAGCAGTATCTCTCAAAGGCAGTGGGACTTTTAAGTTGTAGGCCAAGCTGAAGGAAACCATTTTATAGAGACCTGGACATAGCAGTAAAATGTTTCCAAGCCCGAGGAGGAAGTATTTTTGCTGTCCTAGTATGTTATGATATTTGGTGGAAAAACATTAAGATCTGTGATTTCCCCTTGTTAGAACCACTTTTAAAGACTGCTTTTCCAATTCTGAAAGTAAGCTGAAATCAATATGAAATGAAACCTGAAAGCCAGTAGGAGCTTAGTTATTCCAGCTAGAACAGGACCAGGCTTTATGTTTATTTATAAATGTTTATTCATTTAATATGCTCTCTTTTCAGCTCTGTCTGTTCACCAGCTTGCTGCCCAGGGGGAAATGTTGTATTTGGCTACACGCATTGAACAAGGTGAGCGTCTGAGGAACTTTTAACTTTCTTTTTTGTGTGGAGGATTTATAACCTTGTAAAAGTATGTTATATTCGCTAGCAGGCATCTACTGCATAGAAAATTCACACCCTAGTCTGTCACAAACTGCATTCTCTCCTGATGTCTATTCTTTCTGGATCCATGGTACATTTCAAGCAGTGTGTTCTACCATCATTATAGCTTTGATGTAAAAAAAAAAAAAAAAAAGAAAAAAACCCCCCAAAAACCAAACATTAGTGTTCATGAGAGTTGCCTCTATCAAAGACTTAAAAACCTTAGAGGAGGAGTAATCTACAGAAGCAAGATGGATGAGAACCTGCACATCTCAGTTTGGATGATCAAAGCACAGGGTGGATACAAATAAATTCTTTAAAAAAAAAAAAAATCTGTTTTTTATTTAAATCAGATTTTTTAATTTAATCATTTTTAGTTTTTTTTAAGATGCCTTTTAAAAAAGCAAACGTATATAAAGATAGTTTTAATTTAAGATATGTTAAAGCTCAAATATATCATCATGAAATAGGTATTATAACTTCTAATTATATACTCTTTGAGACAATCTATTCAATTCATGTGACCTTTTAGAAAAGTTTTATAAATAGGTTACAACAGGCTATTGACTACATTAGGGGCCCAATCTTATGGGATTCCCAGAGTCTCCTCTAGTGATTAGTAAAGATTAAAGAAAACTACTCTACCCAGTGGGACTCAGTGCTCAGTGTAGAACAGGGGTGTCCAACCTTTTTGAACATGGGGCTGGATCATGAACTTTTTATCACCCAGTGGGCCGGTGACCCATATTCAAAGACCTCACAGGAAACGGTATCACATCACCCCCCTGAAACAAAAGTACAGTATTTACTTTTGTATCCCGTCACAGCACCTTGGACCTCAGAAAACAGCTTGGAGGGCCGCACGTTGGACAAGCCTGGTCTAGAAGATCCCATTAAGCATCTCTGTGATGCTTAGTTTCAGTTCTCAAACTGTGGATTTGTATCTCCAGAGATAACATCCTTGTTAACAGCAGTATAGAGAGAGAACAGACCTGACTACATGCCCATCAGCTCTCTTGTCTCTCTGCAATTTTGTGTACACAGTCAAGCCCTTACCTTTCTCTAAAAGTGCAGTTTCAAGAAGTTAAATGAATAAAGGATATCAACAAGAATATACTTTTTGTAGAAAACAATGATTAAATTGAGGCTTCCTGACCAATGATTTAAATATATTTGATATAAATTAAATCCGCCCTGTCAAAGCATTTGTGTTTATTTCATTTTTAGTTTGAAACAGGCTCCCACTCAAATAAATGTCTTTGTAATTCTAATGTGCCTGTTTTACATGTGCAGCAATCAGTTGTACTTTCAGTCAGCTTCTCACTGGCTAGTATTCCAAATCCATGAAGAGTATGCAACGGTTATTACAATATCCTGAAAAATCACCAAACTAACAGATAGCTTCTAATCAACTGTGCATCCCTTCTTCTAACTAATCACAGAGATTTGAGAATGGCTGGCTGGCTCAACACAATATGAGCTGGGTTCAGTTTCTCTGATCTGAATCTGACTCACATGGGTAGCTATAACCAGCATTGCCAACCATCAAACTAAGCTGTTGTTATACATGAACATACAAGTCTAAAATTTATTTTCGTGGTAGTAAAATGATCAACTGCAAGTAAAGCAAATAAAAAGGAAGGGGAAGACAGAGTAAACAAAATCAGGGAAATCATAGAGCTGAACAATGGTAAAAATTAGGGGTGTACCAGTAGATTTTTGGGGCGGATACAGATGACTGATTTTTAATGAGCCATATCAGCTGATACCAATCTGATTGTCAGTATGCAGGTCCAGCTGCTAAGTCTGTTGTGGGGGACGAGAAGGGGTGTGGCATGGGGGCAAATTGAGGCCCCTGTGGGGAGGGAGGGCCAGGGCCAGTGCAGCCGGGGCGGAGCAAAGGGGGAGCTGCAAACGGGTCATTGGGTGGGAGGGGGCAGCTCAGGCTGCTGCACGCACCCTGGGAGGGCATAGAGGGTGTGCACCACCAGATTTGCAAGTGGGGTGAGGGCAGGCTGCCGCTGTGGGCTGGGACTGCGCCAGGCTCTTCCCGGCTGGGGCTGGGCCAGACTGCACTTGGGGCGGGCAGCAATGTTCCCTCTAAGCTGTGCACGTGCACATGCACAGTCACGCACAATAAAAAAATCATGCCACAAAACAGCGGGGAACCCATGTGGACCTACCTGCCAGCTGCTGCATGGGTGGGGGGGAACCAATTGCAGGGTGGACTGAAGCAGCACATGCCGAAAGGGGGAGGCAGGATCAGTTTGGGAACAGACTGAAGTGGCGCGCTCATGGACCACTACATTTTAGAGGGAACATTGGCGGTCAGCAGTGGTGCTGGTGCTGGGAGGGGGGCTACAGGGGCGTTGGCAGCCACCCCAATATTCACCGAAGCCCCTCATCCCAGCACCACCCCCGCCCACCCCAAGCGTAGCTCAGCCCTGCCCCACCCAGGAAGAGTCGGTGCAGCCCTGGTCCCAGCCTGCAGCAGCAGCTGCCCTCGCCCCGCACGCAGATCTGGGGGCACACACTCCTCATGCCCTGCCAGGGTGCATGCAGCAGCAGGAGCCAACCCCCCCATCTCCCCGGACAAGACTCTCGCAGCTTTGTCCTGTGACCCGCCTTGGCTGTGCAGCACCTGTCCCTGCCTCAGCCCTACTCCCTCCCTCGCCATGAGGGCCTTGATCTGCACCCCCCCCACACCCCTTCACTCACAGACTTACCAGACAGACCTGGCTGCTCTCCACGCTGCTGGGCTGTGCTCCTGGCCACCTGCCTGCTGTGCCGCGGCTGCACATTTATCAGCCACACTAATCGGCCACATCAGCCAAAAAAAGCCAAGGGCCGATACTGTCAATTTTCCTTATATTGGTGCTGATCTAATATGGGACCAGTGTATCGGTACACCTCTGGTAAAAATGATGCACCTAAAAACTACAAGCACTATAACACCATTTTTTTTTTTTAAAACAGCAAACAGACAGCCAATAGGAACAGGTTAGTCCCACTCATCTCATCTTACCAACCACAAAAAATGCTCCTTTTCACCCATTTGTCATCTCTAGGACATCTCTGCCCTTAACCCTTTCCCCCCCAAAAAAACCTTTCAGCTCCATGAATTTGCAGACCTTTTATGCTATTCAGGTGGCTCTAAAAAGTTATTTATTCAAAAGATCAGAATGTCTTGCTGTCTTAGGATAGCATACTTTTAAATTGTGTAGTACATTATCACACATGCAAAATTAACTTTTCTATTACTTTTTAAGCAGTGAATCCTTACTTCCAAATGTACTCATAGTCCACATTATGTACAAAAGACCTGCAGATTTTCACTAGAGAAATAAAGCTTTATTTGTAAGAAGGCAAAAAGCACCACAGACTATCAGGTTTAATTTCTTTTATTCTCTGTATAGATTAGTGAATTAATGAGATTTTCTGTGTAGATGTCAAACCAAAGTAATCTTAAAGTAGATTTACAATCCCAGCTAGTCATAATGAAAATGATGATACAACCCATATTCTGGTGGCACAAACAGTGCAGTGGTAAAGAAGGTAATTGAACTATATGCTTTCCTTTAAGCAGAAAATGTAATCAACCATAAGGATGAAGAAGGATTTACCCCCCTGATGTGGGCTGCAGCTCATGGGCAGATAGCAGTTGTAGAATTTCTGCTTCAAAACGTAAGGAGAAAATACTGTTTCTCTCAAAGTTCTTCATCTACTTTTTAGTTCTTTTTATGTTGATGTTTACAAATGTCGCTTCATTTGTAAAAGTCTCAATATTAATTATTCTGAGCAAGGGAAATAAAAGGGACATTTTCTGAGTGGGGTTGAAAGCACAATTAACACTGTTTTTTTAATTTCAGGGTGCAGACCCTCAAATTCTGGGGAAGGGGCGAGAGAGTGCCCTGTCATTGGCCTGTAGTAAGGGGTACACGGATATTGTCAAAATGCTGCTTGATTGTGGAGTTGATGTGAATGAGTATGACTGGGTAAGTATCTGACTAGAGTTCGCATGCTATGACCTTAGTGTGCCTCTGTCAGGAAATTCGCTCCAAGATTTAGAGCTATGGTAACTTTTCAGAAATACCTTATATTTCTGAGTTTGCTTTGTGTGTGGATAAACAATCAACAGGAGGATTGTGCTGTGCAGGACTGAGAAAGTTTGTCCAGGCCTCTGTGACAAACCACTTGATGGGAAGGGTAGTGAAAGCTCATTGTAGGCCTTCATAGTAAATTGTGGAAGTATTGAGGAAAACCAGGTGAGCTTAATCCTGCTCTCACTTATTGGCTATGAATCTTTGCAGGGTCAAAGACTATTTGTCTTAGGACCCTAGGGCTTAAAATAGGGGGTTGCTTGTTCTTTCCAAAGCTGGCTAGTATGTTCACTATCTGTAATTTTAGCTACAGAAAACTGTTCTTTATAGTAAACAGGAGCAGAACTTGAGAGAGGCACCTGGCCCCAGGTGCCACCTTGGAAGGAGCACCAGAATGGTGCTCCCACCCCCGCAGAGCATGGAATTCAGCAACAAAAGCTGTTGCAGCAATAGCCAGGTGCACAGACACTGCACTACTACCCTAGGAGCAAGCAAGAACTGGGCCATGCAGACTGAGGACTGTCTCCAAGTCATGGAATAGATAAAACTAACAGCATATTCTGCATTAGTAGAAGCATTGCTAGCAGATCGAGGGAAGTAATTATACCCCTCTATTCTGCACTGCTGAGACCACATCTGAGTACTGTGTCCAGTTTTGGCGCCCCCATTACAGAAAGTAGAGGTGCACTGATACGATAGTCGGATCGGCACCAATTTTTAAAAAATTGGAGTGGGCAGTGGCAGCTGTGGGGGGACTACAGTGAATTTTGAGGTGGCTGTAGCCCCCTTCCCAGCTCCAGTGCTGCCCCCCCTGAGTACAGCCCAACCCACCCCCTCCCCCCCACTGGGAAAAGCCCGGCACAGCCCCAGCCTGCAATTGCAGCCTGCCCCACCCTACACAGATCTGGGGGGGAACAGGCCCCGCCCCATGTCCCAGATGAGCCATGGCTCCATCCTGCGCTTCGCTTCCTCCAGCTGGGCAGCGCCTGCCCCAGCCCCTGCCCTAGCCCCAATGCTTCACCGCAGGGGCCTTGATCTGCCCCCTGTGCCCCTTCCTTCCACCACAACAGACTTACCAGCTGGACGAAGCTCTTCAGGCTACATATCTGAAATCTGATCGGTATAAGCCAATATGCCTCCTTAAAAATCGTCTGTCAGTATCAGCTCCCAAAATCTCTGTTGGTGCACCCCGAATAGAAAGGATGTGGACAAGTTGGAGGGCGTCCAGTGGAGGACAACAAAAATTGTTTGGGGGCTGGGCACATGACTTCTGAGGAGAGGCTGAGGGAACTTGGCTTATTTAGTCTGCAGAAGAGAAGACTGGGGGGATTTGATAGCAGCCTACTGTTAAGTGATGAAATGGGATTCATGACTACTGTATAAAGGATTGACAGCTTGTTTGATGAATGACAGAACAAGTATTCGCTGTTAAATGACCCCAAAGTAAAGCAAAGTCCAGTATTTAGCTGTAAGAGTGATAGTATCTCACCAATACAAGCAAAAGAGGCATTCTCAGTCTTGTCAGCTTCAAGGCATGGATCTGTCACCAGAAGTTCAGCTGGGCACTATAGCAGTTCTTGTCAAAATTATTTCTCATTCTTGAAGCACACCTTGTTAGCCGTTTCATTCTTCTTTTATACCCTTTAGCTCAGCATCTTCAAAGCATTCTTGTAGTTGTGTAAATCAAAAGAATCCCAAGCAGTAATTAAAAGGAAAATCCTGTTAATCAAACTGTTTATTACTGGTTATCAGAAAGTCCCAATTTTGATTGAATTACCTTCCTCAGTAACAAAAGGTTATCAATTTCTACTAAGTTGGAACATATCAAGAAATTGATTAACAACCAGGAAAAACACAGGATTTTTGAGGAGTCATCCTTGGAAGATCAAGGGAACCACTGAGGCAAAACAAGAGTAAATCAGAACCAGATGCCTATCAAAGCCTGTATGGAGAATGTCTCTTCCTACACATAAACATGAGTTAATTGCAAATAAATATTTACTATACTAATTAATCAAGGATAGATATTTCACAGTTACATACCAGACAAATAGGGTCCTGCTTAAAATCATCATAAATATAGTAAGATAAGCTGAAAGTGATAACTCTTTATTTCTTTTTAGAGGGTCCAGCTGCAAACTTACATCCTCTTGCATTATTCAGTTGTCATCAATATTTTGTATTTTAACTTTTGTGAGTAGGCCCAGCTCAGCTTGAATTTCATAGTCATCACCTTCAGCTACCTGAAGGGTGATTCCAAAGGATGGAGCTAGACTGTTCTTAGTGGTGGTAGGTGACAGAACAAGGAACAATGGTCTACGGTTGCAAAAAGCAGGGTTTAGGTTGGATATTGTGAAGAACTCTCTCACTAGGAGGGTAGTGAAGCACTGGAAAGGGTTTCTTAGAGAGGTGGTGGAGTCTCCATCCTTGGAGGTTTTTAAGATCTGGCTTGACAAAGCCCTGGCTGGAATTATCTAGTTGGGGTTGGTCCTGCTTTGAGCAGGGGGTTGGATTAGGTGACCTCCTGAGGTCCCTTCCAACCCTAATTTTCTATGATTCTAAGACCCCCTCCCAAACCCACATGCTGGATCCAGCACCCACTCTGGCCAATCTGGGACTGAATGGACAAACACAGCATCTACTCCAGGACCTGTACCACATATAGCACCCACCCTAGACCAGCTGGAGCAGGTGTCACATGCAGCTTATTGCCTGGACTGGCCAGAACAGGCACTGCAGGGGATGGAACCAGCATGTGAGGGTGGTCTTGGTCTGGCCGTGCACAGTGTAGCTCTGTAGGTCAAATCCTTGACACCCCAGTCTAAACTAACAACACATTCACTTAACTAAGTTTTCCCTTTTTAATATAAATGTCAGTTACTCAGTTATAAATATTAACATGATTTCATGCGGTTGTTAAACTTGCATTTTACCATAAGGATTCCTTTAGAAAAGAACAACTAAAATGTACAGATAGTTATTAGAATGTATTTGAGGTTCCAAATGGTCATGTTTGAAAAAGGTTTTTAAGACTGAACAATAGCACCAAGTCTAGAACAGGGGCCTGGCTACTAGTCCATACAGTGGTGGTATCATGAAAGAAGTCTTGTGTAGGAAGTAGCTCCTGCATCTTCATCCATGACCTTTTGGCTACTGTCCAAAAGATTGATATACTTAAAACAATCTGAAAGTTGTTCTGAGTTATGCTGTGGCACTGGCCAGGCACACAGCCAGCTCAGGATTAGGAAAGCACCACCTACATGGCTTATTATTAGGGACCACTGTAATTCAGGCTCCAGCAGGCTCGCCAGAGCCAATTTCAGGTACTTGAGTGGGGCTGCTCTCCCACACCTCCGATTAGCTGAGGGAGCCCACCATGGGGCTGATTATCATTAAACATCAGCATACAGGCTGTTCTTCAGCTGTTTTAAGAAAGTAAAGCTCACCATTTATTAAACAACAACTTAAAGTCAAGTTTACCACTTACAATTCGTAATGAAACCATAATAAACAAACTTTATTAAACAACTTTTATTGAGTGCTAACTTTTATGGAATGCCAACCCTCAGGCAAAATCCACTGCTGCAAAATCCATGTTAACGATTGAAAGCAAGCATGGAGCAGCCATGCTCCCAAAACAAAGCAGGGCCAGGGACAGCCATGCTAGGTGGGGAGGGGGGAAAAGCCCCTGCAGTAGGAGCACCCTGTACCCCATGCCTGGCTGTGGGAGCAGGCACCAAGCATGCCTATGCCCACAGCCCCTAGGGCAGGGAGTACTCGCCTGCTCTGCTCTGGCAGAGCTTTTAAACTCCCGGCCAAAATGGGGAATTGAACAACCTGATCGGCTGAGCCCTGGTGGCCTGTACTAGGCTGCCCCTGGAAACGCATGGGACTTCCACAGTGTTCCCAGGGCTCTGCTGCCTTTCTTCTCTGCACTTCAGGTATGGTTTGTATTATTATTATTATTATAATAATATTTTTTTCCTTAAATTTTGTTTTCTCCACCCTCCATCTTCCACGTGGATTCAGGCCATTTCCAGCCAAACTGCAGTTTTCCAGGGCTTTCAGAGAAATGCTAAGTTTCAGGCTCTCTGAGATTCCCCTGAAGTCCAAATTACAGTGGTCCCTATTCTTCATCTGCCATGGAATATTTACAAACACAGATCTTGGTCCTGTTGCCTGAACCATGAGAGGCTTCTTTTCTGTGCAAAAGTTCTTATTTCAGGGGGACTTTTCACAGGAGTCTGCCCACACAAACCACTCTGGGGGTACTTCTATAAAATTCATACAGAACTTGAGTTAGGAAAATGCTGGTGACTTGCATATGATTACTTGTACTCTAGAGTCTCACATATATGCAAGCTACTTTGTATCAGCCAGGGCTCACAATCAACACCTATTCAATTTTTTTTTATAGAGCTGTTCAGTGTTCTTTTACTAAGGACTATGAGACATTTTCCCTCTCTTGCAGAATGGAGGCACACCTCTGCTCTATGCTGTGCATGGAAACCATGTGAAGTGTGTAAAAATCCTATTGGGTAAAGTAACTTTAGGCTATGAAACCCCTAAGTACCTAATTACTGCTTATGTGGTTCTATTAACTGTTGACACAACTTAATTGATTTTCTTCCTGTTTTACATAGAAAATGGCGCCGACCCAACTATTGAGACCGACTCTGGCTACAATTCCATGGATTTAGCTGTTGCTTTGGGCCATCGGAGTGGTGAGTATTTAGGACAACTTCACTTTGATTACTTTTATTGCTGCTTTTTTTCAAAGCAAAGTCGCTATCCCAAATGGCCTTCAGATCACTGAGTCTGTTAGTATGTTGTTTTCTGTTCATTACAGATTAGCTAATAACCTTTACCTTTTCAAATGCACACTGTTGGCTTGACTTGTGCTTTTAGAATCCAATAAAATATTAAGCATAATGCTGTGTTCTATTAGATGCATTTTAAAACATAAATTAGAGAGCCAGACAGATGCTTCCAAGGCCTGGCACTGGGGAGGGAGTTCATGAACCCGGGTCAATAGTGAGAGAATGTCAGCAGTTCTGATCCATGTTTGCAGGCAAATATAATTTGTAGACTTGTGTGGGCCCACATGGGTTTAGCTGTACTGTAGGAAAGAGTTATCCTAGAGGAGGGCTGACAGTGATAATTCCTGTGCTTTCTCCAGGGTTTTGCCAGGGGAGAAGAGTTTTAAAATCTGTCCTGCAGTGCATACGACCCTATCGGCTGAAGCTGCCTTGGAGATCTTTCCCAAATCACTTAGGCTTTCAGCCTGGGTCCGACATTCTTTGAGGGTGGGGTACTCCATTGCTTTAGTTTCCAGGCAAGATCTCCACTGTCACACTAGTGACAATTAACTTGAACTTGAAATGTAGCTCAAGTCAACTTTTATGAATTATTTTAAATAGCATTTCAACTGAAACAATAAACATTTTCTGATACATGGGGACAACTCCTTCACTCCTGCTAGTGTGGTATGGAGAGTAAAAAATGGCTTTCTCCATTGGTTCTTCCTGGTGAAACATGTGAAATCTTTGTTTGTTTAAACCAGTAATTGTCAGTTGGGATGGCAGGGCACCTTTGAAGAGATCCTTTGAAGTGTGCTATAGGAAGTATAATAAAATAAGCAAGATTTGAGGAGATACGGGCAGGCTCAGGCTCTCCCTACCTGGCTGTCCCGCTCCACAGCCCAGCCCCTCAGACACTATAACAAATTTAGTTTTTGAAAAGGGGTGCCACTCAATTCACAGAAGCTATGGAGAGCTGCCTTGAGTCTAAAAAGGTTGAGAACCAGTGGTTTAGATAATGAATTGAATCAAAGAACTGTAAACAGTGCCAGACGTGGCTTTTGCAAGCCTCCAGGCTTGTGGTGGAGTTCATAACTATATGAATGAATTAAATGCAGGTGGTTCAATCTTTGGAGGCTAAACAAGGAAATTGTTGCTGAGCTTCCTACTAAATGTGACTTTTCCCCCTACTCTAGATTCACTCTCTGCTAGTGAGCCAGAATCCCTCATGCCCTACCATAAAATAAGCCACTGACATTTCCAGTAGAGCAGGGGTGTCAGATGTGTGGCCCATGGAGCCATGGCATCAGACCCACTGGGCTCCAGGAGCAGCTGGGAATTCCAGGGCGGTGGAGACTGAATTAACAGGGGTGAGGCCTATCACCAAATTCTGGGATATGGAGCCCTTTTGGGGATGCGCTTTGGTGGTTGGGTGAGCAATGGCTGAATTAACTCCCACAGCTCCCAGACACCTCTCTTGCCATTGCTGCTGCTGCCCGCTGTGCTACAATAGTAGGGTGTGGATCCAGCCCACGAGAAGCCCCACAGTCTGGATCCAGCCGGAGGGAGGGGCAAATAAGTTTGACACCCCTGTAGTAGACCACAAAACTGCCCTTGTCCATACCCCGTCTCTGTATATTGGCCTTCTGTTAGCATATTTATCATGTTAACATAAGAGCACCGTATAATGTCTCATGAACAGTACATTACTTCATATCCCCTACAATAATGTAATGAAAATACATAAGTCGGCATCTGCCAGTAAAATACTACATGGACAGTGACTTAGAAATCATTGGGAACTATTTAACCAGATTTCTCCACTTCAGTTCAACAGGTCATTGAGTCTCATTTATTGAGACTCCTTCAGAGTATCAAGGAGTAACAGCCTGTTACAAATAGAAACATTGTTCTCTTCCTGAAGATTTGGACAGGTTTATAATCCCCATAATCATGTGGTAAACACTTGTTTACTCTTTTAACTTTACCTCAGTCAACGTTTTTGCTGTTTTTAATAAGATTTTAATACATGTTCCTTCATGTATCTCATGGGTGTTCATAAAAGTCTGTGATTGATTTAACCTTTTTTAACTGTATTTTATGTAACTTTAAAAGAAAATGTAAGTTAATATTGTGTTGCATGCAACCCTTCTGGGCAGATGCGTATAATCGTAGAAATGTTGATGTTAAATGTAGTAATTGCATTGTACATAGCATTCCACCTGATCATGTAGTTAATATTATATCCACATACAGAATTTGTTGAGATTTTTTTAGGCGTATTGCCATAAAAGACAAGCTCCTTTACTGTTCACAGTATAAAATCGTGCAAAATGTGGTTGTTTACAGAATATTCTGCAGTAAAAATTAAAACACTTTATCAAATGTCTGCATTTGTCCAATTAAATTTGAAGTGAGGTGTTGGTGGGTTGAATTATTGTTTTAAAAGAGATAATTAGGTATTTATTTAATGCTTTTTGGTAACTTGTTTCCATTTTGATCCTCAGATCTTTGGGGCAAATTCTGTTCTTTGCTTTTGTCAAATCAGGCAATTCGGAGGGAATATTCACCCTAGTTAGGGAATCTCCCAGTATAAAGGAATCCCAGAAATCTTAAACTCAGCAGACCTTGGTCCTAAAGCACAAGGGATGTCAGCAAGGGAAGAAAGATTAGCTAGTACACTGCATTCTAGCTATGCTCAGCCAATGGATGGTCTAGTTTCTTGGGGAATCTATCATAATTTATTGCAAATTACAGCAGTGTTTAGGTGGGAAGAAAAACGGGGCAGTGGGAACTGGCTTCCTGAGGGGATCCCTCTCCTCTTTATCCAGTCTAGATTTAGAGGCAGGAAATGTAGCTCCTTATATTTGCACAAACAAGTAGTAACCTTTTGAAACAGAATCTTAAGATGTTTCAGTTCAAGTACCTGTACATGTACAGCCCTCTCCTGGTGCTTACATATCCTCCACATAAGAGTTCAGAGTGTTTAAACCAACAGACTACAAAAGGAGTTATTCCTTCACTCTGCATCTGTCATGTTCCTCCCAAACCCAAGGGCACATACAGAGAGCAAAGTGACCCCATCACCATTCCCTTCCTTTTTACTCTGCTTTGGTAAGGAATCAGAATATCTCCAGTGTCCTTGGCATAGTTTATCTTTTATAGTTAATTTATACTGTAGGTAGTATTTGTTACTATAAAGTATTTTGGTAGCCTGGTGGCAAAAAGTAATACATGCCATGAATTTGATGAGAATCTGTGCACACTTCTTCCCAAACAGGAAGTAGCACTGCCGTCTTAATGTGGCATTGCTGTTGCTCTAATTAGTCTGGTATTTGACATTTCTCTCTCTCTCAGTTGCACAGCTGTGCCACACTCACACAGCAACACTAGTTATGTTTTAGCAGATACTACACTGTGTTCAGCACTGTATCATGTAATACAATAAGTTTGCAATATGGGCATGCCCTAGGTGCACTTACCATTATATTTTCCAAGATTTCATGCCTTTGGGAAAGTGATGGTACACACCTTAGTCGTTAAGGACTAGTCTGTTGTTTTAGTATCAGAAATGTGCAAATCACTTTCCCCTTGTGGCATATAGTAGCAGATCCAAAAGAACTCTTGTTTCAGTGCAGAGGCTTTCCAGTTAGATGAGACTGTTCTTATGTGACCTATCTGCTGCTGTAGCTCATTTAACCAGAGTGCAAGTAATATTGTCAGCACATTGTAGTAGAGTCCCTGTAGCCAAAATATGCTGAAGTAACAATGGAGAGCTGATCACACATGTTAATCCCCATGCTCTGGTAACTGCACTGAGTTTGGGCACACAGCTCAGAGCAGAAGTCCTGCAGTCCTAACACTGAGAGCTGCTGCTTCGATTGCTTCCCCCCACCCCGCCCCACCATTACACTACTGTAAACGCCAGGTGTTGGAGACTCAACGAAAAATAATCTATTGTCCTTTAACACAGCTAGTCCTTAAAGATATTCCACAGGGTATGTATTCTATAATCCTCCCGTTGTCCTCACACCTTGAAGTTTTGTCATTTGAACTCTGGGCAGAGAAAGAACTGGGTGATGGTTGGGTTTGTAAAGTACAGTAAAAGTTCTGTTAGCTGGCATGCTCTACTAACCAGCATGCCGGCTTGTAAGATAAAGTGAAACTAGAAGAGCTCAGTGTGGCACTTCCGGTTTCTCTGAGCCCCCACAGCCCGGGGGCATAACAGGCTGTGCGGGGCCCGCCTCCCTGTCCCGCAGGGCCCGCGGGAGGGGCAGAGGGATGCCCCAGACGCAATGGGAGAAGCGGCGGCCAAGTCTGCTCAATTAACCGGTATATTTTGTTATCCGGCATCCCTCATTCCCGGGTGATGCCGGATAACAAGAGCTTTTACTGTACATGCATGACCCCCAGCAGACACTGATGTTGCACAGATACTCTGTGTATAGAGTATTTACGCCATGAGTTGGATCCACATATACAGAACAACAAATTCAAAGAGCTACAGCTACTGGAAAGGTAAGCAACAGTCTTTATTCCCAGCACAGTGTTACTACTATGTTTTGCTTCCATTGTTATTGGAGATCTTAAATAATTAACAGATTGAAATTAATACTGAAATTGTATCTGATGAAATAGCATGTAAAACCGAAGCTGGGCCTCAGAATAAAGGGTGTGGAAAGATCCTGGCACTTCAAACTAGTCCTTTTAGTCAAAGCCACAGACATAATAAAATCTTGATTTCTTTGTTTCCAAGTAAATGAAATTAAAATAGAATTTTAACAGTTCTATAGATTTGGACTCAAATTCTTTTCCCTAACTTACACTGGAACTTCAATAATGTTGTATGAGAGAGGTAGTTAGCCATGTTAGTCAAAAGGTAAGGTAGATAGCACCTTTATAGACTAAATAAAACAGAGTGTGAGCACAAACTTTTATGAACCCAAGTTCACTTCATCACATGCTGTGAAAGAACAGCACAGAGCAGAGTATAAAGTGGAGTGAGTGATTAGAGTAGGTGAGAAAGCAGGAAGGGGAGTGCTGCAAGACATACAAGCAAAGAACCCATAGGAACAAATAGGTCACAAAAGATAAACCAGGGAATGGGATAAGAATCTGTAGTCTGTACAGATTAAGTAAATTAAACCATACTTAACACAGTCCAGTTTGTGGATGATCATCCTGCTTCCCTCTCCAGCATAGCAGACCAAGAAGATTCCTGGGAACTGTAAGGTAATTGGATTGTGTTAAGTACTCCCTCAGCTGCCTGAAAAGTAATACCACAGCTGTTGTACTCTCAAGCAGGAATCAAACCAGAGTACTTGCAACCCTGGGCAAAAAGCTTCCCTGCTTAATACAAGCACCTCACTGTGGGGGAGGGCTGATTTTGGGGAGGTATATCTTGTATGTGAAAAAACACAGTAATATCTGAGTCAACTGCTTCACTTCTATAGTATTGCATGTAAATATATTATATAAATATGCATCAAGCAGCCAAAATATTCCCTCATTGTGATTTTATATTCTACAAATGGCAGCATTTAAAGTCCAAACATTAAATAGCTGGTTCACCTTTCATTTTACTCTTCAATTGGCACTGAATGGCCATAGAATAAACTAGATCCCTTATTGCTGGTTATAAATTAACCTTGCATGTAAGATGACTCCATATTTTCAGGTTCAATTTCAAGGAAAAAACAGGTTTTTCTTCAAATATATGTTGATAAGTACAGCTAAAGTCCTTAAGCTGCTATTGCCCTAGCAGAATCCTACAGGACCATCAAATAACCAAGGAAAGGACTGAAAGGGTTAAATCACTAAAATGCTAGCATAAAAAACCTCTGTACCAAAGCTAATTTTGCCCAAGGCCCATCCACTACATCAGTACATCTCAAGACAAATATTTTTGGTTCGCACCTCAAAAAAAAAAGACAAGCTATTTTTTAAAGGCTAGATTTGAATTTCAGTTTGGGATTCAAACTCCATGGATTTATGGAGCCAAAACGCTAGATCCAAACAGTGCTGGTTTTACAAGGTCAGACTCCAAGTTTTCCTAATTGTTGGGATATGGTGAAGGAGAAAGTGGTTGATTGTAGGGGAATCATCTGGTTTTGGTTTAATTGGAAAATGCTAATCTGTTGAGCTGAAAATATTTCACTATTGCTTTGACCAGCTTCCAGTTGTCACAACCCAAAGTTGTGGTTTTTCTTGTTTGTGTGCGCTTCGGCATCGCTAAATCATGTTCCCACCAAATTGCAGCTCTTTTGCACGGTGGAGTGTTCTGCTGCAACAGAGAACCCACGTGTAGGAGCTTTTCCTGCCAGTTCTGTAGCTTTCTTTGCATAGTGCATTTCTTTTGCATTATAGTAATGCGTGATGTAGGGAGTCCCTGCCATTTGTATTAGGATTTGCGCCACATTATTGGCCAGTCTTAATGTAGGCACACGTGGCGGCTAGCTATTGGCTTGCTAGCCGTACAAAAGGCTTGGGTGGTTTCCGCCCAAATCGGAGAGAGAGAGAGAAAGCATGTGGAGTTTGGGAAAGGAGCGTGAGGATCTCCAAGCGCTGCTGATCCATACGAACCCAGCTTTTTCCTTAAGAGGGCAACAGAGGTTTAATTTGTCGAACCCACGGAGCTTTAACTCCGCGGGACTTATTTACCGTCCCCTCAGAGCCTTAACGACTCCGAGGCAACTAACCTCTGGCCTCTCCCCGTCGCCGATCACAGCCTAGACGTATCCCTATCCTAAGGACCCAATTGTCGAGCCCACGGAGTTTAACAGCTCCGGGGGACCTGGGAACCGAGTAACACTCACGGAGATACAGCTGCTCCGTGGGAACGAATTCTTGAACCCCGCGGAGCCTGAATCACTCTGGGGTCAAGGAACCAAGTGTATTAGAGTCCTCCACCGAGAACTCAAGCGGAGCTGAGCCTGGAAAGCTGACCAGCCTACACTGCGACCACCTTGGGTGTAAGTAAATAATCTTTTCAATCAACCATTACGCCTCCGTGACTGATTCTAGCTAGAGCGTGTCATACCGCACCGCGGTCTTTTCCAACCCCGTGTACCCGGGCTACCGGCCACAGCCTGTGTACACACAAAGACAGGGCCCTGGCTCGCCCCGGCTCACACATGGCGACCCAAATGGGATCGGGAGAGAGCTCGCACATGGCGACCCAGGCGAGATCGGAAGTCGGCCCGCACACCAGTAAAACATCATCAGGGTTCCAAGAGAACACTGCCTGCTTTCCAGCCAACTGCCCTTATGGACTGACTGTTTCCTGGCTCTATGGCTCCTGCAGTGGAGTCAAGGGTCTGATGGCCTCAACTTGTCACCAGACTCTTTGGCTTCCTCAGCTGTAGCTTGCCTGAGGCAGGATTC